ACGATACAACTTCGATACTTTCCATTACGAGGAGGAAGAAGTGCTCCATATTTACTTGGAATAATAAAAATTAATAGGGGTATATGTGTTATTTTACAACTTGATTTTTCTACCATTAGCCAAATCTCAAGTTATCATGTGAGATTAGTAAATTAAAGGGATCCACGGATTTTGAGCAAAAAAAAACCCAAATCCATGGCCCAACAGATTTGTCTCCAAATTGACTAAACAAATAAATGATTGTAACCAAATCCTTCGTGATGAAATTAAAAATTCTTGACACAAATTCATAAAACAAACAACCCGTACATATGTGAACAGAGTTTAATGTCTATTCTCTCATTCTTCTCTGAACCAAAACTTAGAAATCACTATTCCATTGTCTTATTCCTTCTCATTCCCGCCATGTATAGAGTTGTTACCATGGTAAAGGAAACCGGATCGTACCGGCCGGTTGAATCGGTAAAACCACAAATCGGAGCACGGACGACACGGTAAGCTGTTTGTGGGCAGAATATCACGCCAGCCAGTTTAAACGACAAGATCCAAAATACTGCACGGTTTCGGTCTAACCGGGGGTAGGCTTTTGGGAAAGGAACGTCATTGTTTTGGCACCCAAAAAAAAAAACAAAAGAAATCGGTCGAAGGCCAAAATTCAAAACCCTAATCTCTAAGGCAAATTGAACCAAACGAAAAAACAGGAGCATTCTTTTTTTCTTCCTAACGGCTGCCGACCGGGAAGGAACCCCCGTCGCTCCTCCTCTTCTCAACTTCAACTCTAGCGACCGGCGACCAGGAACCGCCGAGCCCGTGACCAGCGATCCGCGACCCGCCGCGATCCCTGCTTTGCTCCGCTCCAGCGACTGTCGACCTGACTGGCGACCAACAATCCCTGCTCCTCTCCGCCGCTCCGCTGTTCCTCTCCGTTACTCCTCAGCCGGCACGCCTCTCCCTCCCCTTCTCAAGAAGGCGTCGCCTAGGACGGAGAATGCTGACTGCTCAAGAACGCAGCAGGCATAGGTAAGAAAAAATTAGAGAGTTTTTGGAGAAAATAGACTGCTCAAGAACGCTTGGGAGACTGCTCAAGAACGCTGAGTTTTTGACTTTTTGGATGTTTTTTCTTTTGACTGATTTGAAGTATAATGCTATTTTTTTTTTGTTTCCAATGTTCTGCCCTTTATTCTAATGAGAATTTTGGCTATTTTGAAAGCAATGGCCGGTGGAGAAGAAGCCCGATCGGTTGATAAAGGAGCAACTCCTAGTAATCCGAAGGTTACCGCAAAGGGTGTACGAAGCAAAAGTAATCCAACTTGGGCTCATTGTTCCTTACATCAGGATGGAAAAGTGGAGGTACTCACTTGTCTCTATTGTCAAAAAGAATTTAGAGGCGGAGGAATCACTAGAATGAAAAAAACATCTAGCTGGTGTTAGTGGGGATAATGCAATATGCTCAATGGTTCCTCCTAAGGTGAGCGAAAAAATGAATAAGCCTTTGACTACTTATGGAACTAGTGAGAAGAAATCTGAAGTTTTCAAAGCTGGATTTAAAGAACCTCGTGATACAAATTCTTCTAGTGCACAATATGATGGTAATAGTGCTAAAAGAGTTGCTCCTAATGTGTCTACGGGTTCGATTGACACTTTCTTTATTCCACGGTCATCTTCCAGTAGTCAAACGGGAATAAAGAGTGTCTTAGCAACTAAACAAGTTGTATTGTATGTGGATCGAGCATGGGCTAGATGGTTCTATGATGCATGTGTTACTTTAGAATCAATTAAATCTCCACAATTTAAAATAGCAATGGATGCTTCTATGACTCTTGGTCCTAGTTATGGTGGTTCTACATATTATGCTTTGAGGTTTACTTTGTTGGATAGCATTGTGAAAGAATGTCAGTTATTGATTGAGAATTTGAGGTCTCATTGGAAGGAATCTGGATGCACTATTATGGCAGATGGTTGGATGGATAATAGGCGTAGATCCTTAATCAATTTTCTTGTTTATTATCCTGTTGGAACATGCTTTGTGAAGTCCATTGATGCTTTTGGTTTGGTCAAGAGTGAAAGAAACTTGTTTAAGTTTTTCTATGAGGTCATTGATTGGGTTGGAGCTAAAAATGTTTTTCATGTGGTGACCGAGAATGCATCCAGCTATAAATTAGCAGGGACAATGATACATGAGCATTATGGTCATATATATTGGACTCCTTGTGTTGCTCATACCCTTAACTTGATCTTGAGTGACATTGGATCTATGTCTCATGTTAAGAAGCTTGCATATCCAGCTACCAAGGTCTCCAAATTTGTTTACAATCACGGTCCAATTTATTTCTGGTTGAAGACGAAGGACAATTGGAAAGAAATAGTGAGAACTGGTACTACTAGATTTGCTACTACATTTCTGAGTTTGCAAAGTACTTTTGAGCACACGCATGATTTGGAGGAACTGGTGATGATTAGTGAGTTCTTTAGAGAAAGTGATCTTTCAAGTACTAAGGATAGAAAGGATGTGAAGGCAATTGTACTCGATCAACAGTTTTGGCTGATCGTGACTTCATTGCTAAGTTGACAACTCCAATTGTTAAGTTTCTTCGAGTTGTGGATTCAGATAGTAAACCAGCAATGGGGTATGTGTATGTTGGGATGACTAGGGTGTCAAATGCTATTATGACTGTTTGTGGAGATAAGGCGGAGATGTTCAAACCATACTTGGATATCGTTAATAGGAGATGAGATAAGCACTTGAGTCGTGATTTGTTTATGGCAGCTCACTATCTTAATCCGACTATGAAGTATAGTGATGATTGGACAGAGGATAGGGCGGTTACATTTGGACTTCTTAATCTTCTTGAGAACTCGTCTTTATGTCCTGATAATAGTGTGGTCGTGGTGGTGGAGATGAATTTGTATGCTGAAAGGTCAGGAAACTTTGGGAGGAAGATGACAATAGATTCTGCACAGAAACAACAACCAGGTAATTGATATCACTTGCATTGAAGTTCTTCTATTGCATCTATGTTTTATATGTAGATAAGTGGTGGAAATGGTTTGGCATTGATGCTCCAAATATTCAGAAGTTGGCTATTCGAATTCTTAGCCAAACTGCTGCTTCTTCTGGTTGTGAACGTTATTGGAGTGTCTTTGAACGTGTGCATACCAAAAGAAGAAACATATTGCAGCATAAAGTGCTTAGTAACTTGGTGTTTGTGAATTACAACTTTGCGATTGCAGAATAGGTAATGATTTGAATTATAGAACTTGTGTGTTGAATTCATACTTTCTATGCTCAATGTAGTTAAAAGCTATAGTTTAAGCCTAAAAGCTTACGATTTTAAGTTCTTACCTCCTCCAATATAGTATTTCTTTGAAAAATCTTTTGGCATCATAAGCTTAATATAAACTCTTCAAAACCACAATATGTGCATAAAAATCCTTAAAAGCTAGCTTTTAGGACGCTTATAAGAGCTTTTAACGATAATGTTTATGGAGCGATTTGGCATGTCATGGGATGGTCAAATGATTTTTTATAGATGAAAAAACTAAAGTGATCATGCCGCTGGCTTCAAAGTGATTCTTTTAACATGAATGAGGATTGATGTATTTATGAAGAGCATGATGTTAGTGACAATAACAACTATGACGATGGCGGTAATTAAGATGATATGATTTGGATGGAAATGTGGACGTTGCTGCCCAAATGTAGCATAAATCATGATCAATTTTTTTGGAGGGCTTGTGATGTCCATAATATGAATATTTCTGAGTTATGATTCATATTAGCGTATGATTCAACTCTTTTTCTATGTTTATGAACCTGTTCTGAGTTAGAATGTACTCTAGTTCAAAATCTTTTCCAATTTTCTGTGTGTGCATCCTATTAGTCTTTTAAGTTGATTTTTCACAATTTCAATGGTTCATATAAACTTACGTTCTTACGCTCCACTTTTACGCTTAAGTTTGTACCCATCATTCCGCTTATACATAAAAACTATAGTTTAACTACATTGTCTATGCTTACTATTGAATTGAATTATTTTATGTTTTCTACTTTGATTAGGGAGTATTATACCAAGAACAACAAAGAATCATATGATTCCATAAGCCCTGAAAGCATTGATTCTACTGTTACTAGTCACTGGTTTTCGGAAGGGGAAGAAGGTTCATCTTCTAGGGAAAAGGAATTGGATATTGATGAGTTAGATCGAGCATTAGAAGAGGAAGGTTTGTTTGTAAATCAATTATGTATGATATGAATTCTAATTCTAATAATTGATAATAATTCTTACTTGTTTTCTTTTACATTGTAGTTGGTGATGAAGAAGATGAAGGGGACGACTTGCAGAATGTAGACTTATCTACATTTGGTGTTGTTTGAAGATATGAAACGTTGTTTGTGAACGTTGTATTGCTTGCTAGTTTGAGTTTGTAGTAGTTGTGAACTTGTGGTTTGAGAATGTTGTTTGGTTGTTTTGTACTTTGAACGAAAAGGAAATGTTGTTTGGTTTGAGAATGTTGTTTGAACTTGTGGTTTAAGAATGTTGTTTTGTGCTCGATCGTAAACATGCATTTGAACGATTATGTAGCTAATTCAGTAATGTTGCAGTTTGTTGATTGTAATATTAAATATGCATATTTAGTTTATTCAGGTTTGTTAGCCGCTATATTCCGGTTTTATTGCGATATTATTCCGAAACGGTATCCTGAATCTGTCGGTACATTTTTTAACAAAAAAATATTTTTTAATTACAAAAATGATATTTTACCTATACATAACGATTTAACCACGATAATACCACAAAATACCCTATCACTGACGGATCAGTATGATATTTTCCTTCACCATGGTTGTTACCAGAAGCATTGCAACAATTTTTCGTGGGTGGCTTAAGCTTAGCAGACAAGCCGCCATTAATAATAGCACGAGCACGAGCACGAGCGAGACTCTGGTTTCCAGAAACCAAATAAACAAAAAATATAAAATAATTGATAACCCGCTGTGCCGCCATTACCAAACATGGTAGGTAAATGTGTTATGTATCCAACAAAGCCAAACCCATCAATCAAGTTACCTTTCCCCCCTATTTTTGGACCAATCAAATATTTCCAATCTCTGCTCCTCGCCGCCCACCAACTCACAGTTTCCCGAAATTACACAATCCACACAAGGGCATTCCCGTCAGCCGACATCAAAACCTCACTCAGGAACCAACTTGGTCACCCCAAAAAACAAAGCGATTGAGACTATATTGATTATTGCTCCTGCTCCGCTCCGCTCTGCTCCCTCTCTCTCTCTTCCAAACCTTTCCTCTTTTGGTTCCGTGATCCATCTCTCTCCTTCTACACCAGTTCACGAGAAGCTCAACAGATTCCTCCTTCTTTCTTCCTTTAACCTCTCTCTCTCTCTCTCTCTCTCCCTCCCTCTTCCAATTTGTGAGCTGTTTACACAGATCTTCAGTTCCCAAATCTAAGCTCTGTCTTCTTTATCTATTCTTGGTAGAAAGAAGCCATCTTTTGGTCTCGGCAGCTCAGTTTTGTGTTTGTGATTGGATAGAATTGACATTCGACGAAGTTCTTTTATTTTTTGCTCATAAATATACTGGAAAGTGTGTTGAAGTTTTCACCTTTTTTTAGGGGGGACTCTATAGCTTGCTTCTTATTCAAGATCTTATCTCTGCTCTGCTTACAATTTAAGCTCAAATAGCACTCTCACTTGAAAGTGATGCACAAATATTCTCTGGAATATTTACCCAATCTATTGCTTTGGTGGTTATTCGAAGACTCCGCTGCTGCGCAACCCAAATCTCTCCTTCACATACATACTGATAGAGAAGAAGATATCAGAGAGAGAGAAAGGGAAAGAGAGGAATTTGATGGATTCGGGCAGTAGCCGGAATTTCCAGAACCAGAGTGAGCAATCCGGGTCGGGTTTGCTGCGGTTTCGATCGGCTCCGAGCACTCTTCTCTCCAATTTCGGCGATCAGGGGCAGGGAGCAATCGGCGATGATTCCCCCGCAATGGGGTTTCGAGAATTGGACGGCAAATCCGCCGCCAAAGTGAAAGGAGCGGCAAACAGCGGCGGCGGGTACCCGAATTCTTCGACGCTGGCCCGGAGTTACTCCGGGTTGCCGCCTCATTATCCGAAGGCCGATACGGCGTCGTCGGGCGTGGATAGGGATGGTTCCTACCGCTTGATGATGGCTTCCTTGGGCATAAACCAGAACGAGGCGGCGAGGACGCTCAAGACAGTTGACTATTCGAGTTTGGGGAGGCAGCAGAGCAGCTCTCCTGCTGGATTTTTTGAGGACCTTTCTTCTCACAATGGTATTCTTTCTTCTCTTGATTTCTACTTTTCCTCCTTTTTCAGGAAAATATCATTTGATTTTGTAGATGTCTATTACCATGATTGATTAATCATTAGCAGTAATTGTCATTTTCTCTGATAGAATTAGAATTAGGTTTCTGGGTTATCTTAGAAGTTTCGGGAATAAGATGGATGGCTTCTGAAGTAGAAGCAGAGCAAAGTTAGGTTATTGGAAGTGGGCAAGAGGGGAAGGCTTGCTTTACTAAGTGGGTCATCCTTTTGTAATTTGACCTATTTCAATTAGGAATATAATATTAAGGTGTTTGTTAACTAAACAAAACAATAACGGCAATTTGTTGCGAGACATTACACTAATGCAGAAAGGGAAAAAAAACTAAAAAAGGTTCAACGCACCCTGTAATAAGATTAGATCGCCATGGAAACGAATGAAACATTCGTCTCAGCGAAATTGCAGGTAATTATCCAACAGTGAAGGGCTACACTCCCACTAATCAGATGGGTGCTAATAATGGTGGGGAAGCCAGCAGCCCGAGACAGAGACCACAACTCAGCTTCTCGTCGACAATGTTGTCGTCCGACATTGATCTCGAACATGTCTCCCCAAGCAGCCCAGAGAGCCCGAACCTCGTCGGTGGATACGGCGGTGCAGGGTTCCCTTACGGCGGGGCATCATGGAACGAGCCCCACTTCGGCGACACTGCTTCGATTGCTCATCATCACCGCCAGGTTAGTTTATCATTATCACAAGCCACCATCACCAGATTAAAGCTATAGATAAATTCATCAACTTAATTTGTTTTTGGGTGGTAACAGAATGGAGGAGAGATTGGAGTCCATGGGTTGTCCCGCCACTTGAGCTTGCCCAACAAGCCTGGTGCTTCAGGGGAGATGGACACTTTCCTGCGGTTCCAGGATTCTGTTCCTTGCAAGATCAGAGCCAAGCGTGGCTGCGCCACTCATCCTCGAAGCATTGCCGAAAGAGTATGTCCAATCCAACCAAGTCCACCTAGTTAATCATGGCCGAACTCTTATCAAATTGGTTAAACTTTCTGTTTCAAATTTGCTGGATGCTGTGTTGCTGCAGGTGAGAAGGACTCGGATCAGTGAAAGAATGAGGAAACTACAAGACTTGGTACCAAACATGGACAAGGTAACCAGCTAGAAACTTGATTTCGCGGTTATCAATATTGGCAATCCCTACTTTCTGTTACAATGGTGATGGTATTGTTTGTTTGTTTGTTTGTTGGCAGCAAACCAACACAGCCGACATGCTAGATTTGGCGGTTGACTACATCAAGGATCTTCAGGCACAGTACAAGGCATGCACTTTTTTCCTGATTTGCCCATTTCCATGTCAAAGCAGCCAAACTTGTTGTTGCCTAATAAACTAATTGTCCTTCTCCTTGTATGGCAGAATCTGAACGAGATCAGAGCCAACTGCACCTGTTCACATAAGCGGCAGGGTGGCCAGGCCCAAAACTAACGCTGCCATGAGACCAGCTTCCAGTTAAGTAATTGGTTGTCTTGTTTACTAGGCATGGGACATGGCGAGCATGAAGCAGAGGAGCTTCAATAGTAGCGTATGTGCCATCTTCCAGTTAATGTTGGAAACCTTTGGACAGTAAGTTAGCAGAGCTTTTTTTTTTTTTTTCGTTTCACAGGTTCCCTCAACACATGACCAAACATGCACTAGGGAGGGAGACTTTAGTGAAGAGACTTGTACAGGAGGAGGAATAATAATGTTGTACTGGTCCATGCAATAAAATTTTGTTAAGAGATATTTTACACGTTCGCTACGTATGGACCGGTAGTCTAAATTAACTTTTATCACAACAGATTTTTGTTTGTTTGTTAGGAGTGAAATAGATTTGGGATGGTTTAGAGGAGGAATTTGGCTGCAGGATTTATCTCAAGTCTCTTGCTATGTTGGATTTCATGCAAATCGCTCGTTTGGAAAGTGCTCTCAGAACAAGGTATTTTGAGGCTCTTGGATTGTGAAAACCGTCTATGGTTGAAATTCAAAATAGTTTACCCCGAGCTATTTTGAAATCCGGTAGCAATTTGTCAATTCGTTCTCATCCTGTGACTAGTCTTTTTTTATTTTATTATCCCCATTCACCATCTCTCTCATTTCCGTTGATCGTTATGATTTTCCATGCACGTCCACCGACAACATCGACTGGTCAAGGATACTGTCATTTGTGAGGATGAGAGGAGAGCAACAGCCATCAACCGTATGTTGCGGTTTATTTGACGACTTAGTGCTGGACTTAGTTGTCATTAGTTGTTGTTAATAGTAGTAAAGTGAAGTTTGCCTAAGCCAAAAATTAGGTGGAATTGATGTACGGGTTAGGGGAGGAGGTATATATATATCCTCCTTGCATGCTGCTGTAGCAGTCGAGTTGGGTGTGTAAGTTGATTAATAAAAGTTCAGCCGAGAAGCTCTTGTGGAGCTTCTCCGTGGAGTAGTCCTGTACACATCGAACGGGGATACCACATAAATTGTTCGCGATGTTCTGTTTTCCACGTTCTACTTATTTAACATGGTATCAGAGCTATCACGATCGTCAATCTGTTAGTTCATGATGAGTGACGATGAGAAGCAGGAGACCGCGTCCGGCAAGGCAACCCTCGGGTCATCTGGTGGTTCTTCGAAGCTTGACAACAGTCTCACCTACGCGTATTTCATCAGCCAGTCCGATAATCCTAATCAGGTATACGTTGGTGAATTGTGGAAGGAGGTTAATCATACTGATTGGGTGCATGACCAACCCCTTGCTTGCTAAGAATAAGCTAGGGTTTGTTGATGGTTCTTTCCCGGCACCCACCGATTCCCTTGAGCTACGAAGTTGGCATTGTGTCGATGCCATGGCTAAGGGGTGGTTCAAGTTCGTCGTGGCGCTCGTTATGCCAAGACCGTCAGAGAAGTTTGGGTTGATTTGAATGAATGTTTTGCCCAGAGTAGTGCTCCGCGGGTGTACGAGCTCCGTTGTCCCATTAGTCGTCTTACTCAAGAAAAGTTAAATGTCCCTGAATTTTATACTCACCTGCGTAATCTATGGGATGAGGTGTTGTCCATGGCTCCGCTCCAGTCTTGTACGTGTGCTAAGTGATCTTATGGCGCCGACTGTAAGAATCAAGAGAGGGAGGAAAAGTTTCGCCTCTATGACTTCCTGATGGGGCTTGATGAGTCCTTTTCCATCGTCAAAACTCAAGTTCTTTCTATGAAGACACTACCCACCTTATCGGAAGCCTACCTGCTTGTTTCAAATGATGCTCATCAGCGTCGTCTTGCGGTTCGCAATCGTCCTAGTTCTGAAGCTGCCGCGTTTCTTGTTCGTGATGATATGCCTTGTGAGGAGTCTTCTTCGGATGGACGTGGTCGTCATAAGTTCACCCATTGTGGGAAAATTGGCCATCTCAAGGATCGGTGTTTCGATCTCATTGGCTGGCCGGATCATCCTTCTTCTAAACCGGATGGCGCGGGTAGGAAGAAAGGGTTGGAGCCTGAAGTCCACTCCTAAGTCAGCTGCTATTGAGGTTGGTGAGAGTCCGGTCGCCGGACTAAGCATGTCACAGCTAGCGTAGCTCAAGTAGTTCTTGGCTGGGTCCTCATTCTCGTCGGAAGCTTCGGCAACCAAGCTTACGGGTACTTTCTCTTGTTCTTCTTCGTGGGTTTTGGATTCGGGATGTAATGAGCACATTGTTCACGATGTGTATCTTCTTTCTCATGGTTATCAACCGTCTGATTTGCGGGTTGGGATTCCTAATGGGATCTCGGTTAATGTTGCTCAAGTTGGGTCTGATTGCATGAGTAACGGGATGGTTTTGCCTCGTGTTTTGTTGGTTCCCGAGTTCAAGTGTAATCTATTGTCGATCACTCGGCTCACACAAGAGTTTCCCATCACTCTGATCTTCCTTCATAATTTCTGTATTCTACAGGACTTGCGTTGCAAGAAGATGATTGGGATGGGCCAACAACGTGACAGGTTATATTATCTCCGCTTATTTGATGGCGTAAGAGAAGCTGTTGTCCATGCCGCAACTCGAGAGGATCATTTGTCAGCTCCGTTGTGGCATGCTCGCTTAGGCCATCCGTCCATGGACAAGTTTTCATTATTGCCTTTTGTTTCGAGTTCTAAACAGTCTGGAGTGGACCGTTGCTCTTCTTGTTTATGAGCTAAACATACACGCAGTCCTTTCCCGTCCAGTTCTATTAAGACTTATCGTCCTTTTGAGTTGATTCATGTTGATATTTGGGGTGGCTATAAGGACCCGTCATTGAGTGGTGCGCATTATTTTCTTACTCTGGTGGATGATTTTTCACGTGCTGTTTGGGTATATCTTCTTCGATATAAGTCGGAAGTTGTTGGTTATTTGATGATGTTTTTTCAACAAGCTAAACGTCAGTATAGTTCTTTTGTTGTTCGTATACAAGCCGATAATGGTGTGGAGTTTCAAACTAATGTTCTTAAACAGTACTACGAGAGTGAAGCTATTGTGCTACAAACCTCGTGTACTGATACACCGCAACAGAACGGGGTCGTCGAGAGGAAGCATCGACATTTATTAGAGACAGCTCGCTCTCTACGTTTTCATGCCTCCCTGCCGATCAAATTCTGGGGGGAATGTGTTCTTACCGCAGGTTACCTCATCAACCGGCTCCCTTCTTTGCTGACTGCGAATGATACTCCATTTGAGAGTCTTTTCGACAAGAAACCCACGTATAATCACCTTCGGACGTTTGGATGTTTAGCCTATGCTAAGGATACCCGTTTTTCTCTCGACAAGTTTGTCGCGAGGGAGAGAGAATGTGTTTTTCTCGGTTATCTGACTGCTCAGAAAGGTTATCGTGTTTTTGATTTGACTACTCACTCCATGTTTACATCTCGCGATGTAGTATTTTGTGAGGATAAATTTCCTTTCCAACATTTGGACGGTGCTTACTTTGGGGCTTCACCGCCGGTTCATTTGGACTCCAGTCCTTGTTTCTCTCTTGATGATCGTTCTCATGACCTGGCCGCAGATGAGATGGTTCCCTTTGTTGATATGGTGAATAATGAGGAGGAATCCACTCCTCTTTCTTCCTCGCAACCGGCCAGCGAGTCCTCTAGCTCGCCTCCTGACTCGCCTTCTAGTTCATCACCCCCAGTCACGGGTGATTCTTCTCATTCGTCGTCCACTACATCCTCGCCGCAGTCTTCTCTAGTCCTGGTTGTTGAGTTGCGTCGTGGTGATCGTCTCCGCCAGGTACCCTGTCATCTTGATATTTATGAGGTCAAGTTTCCCTCGGCAAATTCATGTGTGAAATACCCCTTACATGTTGTGCTCAGTTATGACCTTTTATCCCCAAGTTATCGTGCATTTGCAGCTGCTCTTACTCGTCATGTAGAGCCTTCAGCCTCGCACGTTCTCTGAAGCTGTTATCCATGCATGCTACCGAGAAGCTATGCAACAGGAGTTTGATGCTCCCGTTGCCAATGGCACCTGGGAGTTACAACCCTTACCCCCGGGCAAGAAACTGGTTGGTTCGAAGTGGATGTTTAAGAATAAATATCGTCCTGATGGCAGCATTGAGAGGTTCAAAGCCCGTCTTGTTGCACAGGGGTACACGCAGAAGGAAGGGATTGATTTTCATGAGACTTTTGCGCCTATTGCAAAGTTAGTTACAGTTCGTTGTGTCTTAGCTCTTGCGGCACAACGCAGTTGGTTCCTTCATCAAATGGACGTGAACAATGCCTTTCTTCACGAAGATCTTGATGACGAAGTTTATATGCGAGTTCCCGATGGTTTTGCTCGACCGGGGGACACACAAGTATGTCATCTTTGCAAGTCGTTGTACGGATTACTTTAGGCATCACGAAACCGTTATAAAAAGTTCACCATGGCCCTTTTATCCTATGGTTTCCGTTGTTCACGGGCTGACCACTCTTTATCTCATATCGGAAGAATGGAGTTTTCGTTTTCGCTCTCATCTACGTCGATAATATCGTGCTTGGGGGAGATAGTTGGGTAGTCATTGAATGGGTCAAAGTGTTCTTGAAGAAAGAATTCAGCATTAAAGATTTAGGTCCTTTGAAATACTTTCTGGGTATCGAGGTTGCGAGGTCGCGCCATGGGATCTCCTTGTCGTAGAGGAAGTATACGTTGGACATTCTCAATGATGCAGGTGCGCTTGGGTCAAGCCTTGTTCTTTTCCCATTGAACAAAATCATCATCTAACTCGTGTAGAGGGTCCGGCAGGACATGATCCATTGGCATACAGACGATTAGTTGGGAGACTGTTATACCTCACGGTCACTCGACCTGATATCACGTATGCGGTTAATTTACTGAGTCAGGTTGTGCACTCGCCTAGAAAGCAACACGTGGAGGCTACGTATCGGATTCTACTTTACTTGAAACACGCTCCTTGGCATGATTTGTTTCTCCCAAATGACAGTAGTCCAGTTTTAACTGCTTACTGCGTTGCATGTTGGGGTAGTTGTCAGTAGACTCGTCGTTCAAATTCTAGGTACTTTATTCAGCTTGGACATAATCCCATATCTTGGCGAACCAAGAAGCAGTCAGTGGTAGCACGTTCGTCAGTTGAAGCTGTGTACATATCGATGGCAGTTACAGTGAGTGAATTAATTTGGTTACGTTGGTTGTTGCAGGAGTTAGGGGTGCATCTTAATACACCTACTGCATTGTATTGTAATAATCAAGCGGCATTGCACATTGCAGCAAATCCAATTTTCCACGAGCGCATGAAGCATGTGGAAATGGATTGTTATTTTGTGCGAGAGCATGTGGTATCTAAAGACGTCGAGCCTAAGAAGATTTTGTCCAGTGATCAAGTCGTCGATGTATTCACGAAAGGTTTGGGTAGCGAGCAGTTT